TTTTTTTTTTCTCTTGTATTTAATGTTCTTTCTTCATTTATGAGTAAAATACACAAGCAGTATCAGCGCGTCGGGTCACGTGCCTCCAGCAGACAGTCGATGGTACAAAAAAAAATAAAAAAATTGTTTATTGTGTGTGTACAAATAAATTAATAATTCTTCAGGTAAAAAGTAACAAAAGTAAAGAAAACACTTCCCATATTAGCGCGAGCACAGAACCTTTACAAGGGCGGGTTATACAGTAGTTTAAGGTGGCCCGAGTAGTTTAAAACCTCGTAATTCTCAGTTTTATGGAATTATAATTTCGTCAATTATAATTTTTTTTTTTTACAGAAATATACAGAATATGGTTGTTTACAGTACGAGACCTTGAGGCTATCCGTAGGCCCGACCTCGGCGAGGGAGTAAAGCTGATGGTGAAGATGAATTATAGTGGGTGAGTGGTATTGCAAACAGGCATATCACGGAATACTGGTTTTTTTTTATCTGGTTTGGTTTGATTTGTTTCGTCGTTGTGGAGTGGAAAGGACGTGGGGCGATGGTTGTGCTTACATCGAGATTATTTCAGAGATTTCTACGACCGTTTAACAGTTTAGCCCTTGAATATCTTGAAAAACTCCTACAATAGGCAGTACACGGCTGTCGGTTTCGTAAGGTTTCAAGGGTTATTTTGAAATTGTGGCAATTGATGCTGTTTTGCATTTTAGTTTGGGACTTATGCTGTTGTAGGACTAAATAGGATATTCGGATGCAAGTGAAAAAGTAGATTCCGTCTTCCGCCTCGCCTTCGGCTTAGGCTGTAATCACACTCGGCAGGAAGTACATTTTTTCACATGTATCTGATTTGGAACTTTATTCCGACCCTTGTGGCCCTTAATCTGACCCTCGTGATCCTTCTTCTGACCCTCATGACCCTTCATCTGACTCTTGTGATCTTTAATCAGACCCTTGTGACCCTTATTCTGACCCTTATCACCGATATTCTGACCCTGATGACCATTATTTTGATCCTTGTGACCCTTATTGATCGTGTTACCCTTATTATTGATCGTTAATCTGATCCTTGTGACCCTTAATTAGACCCTTGTTAGCCTTATTTGGACCCTTAATCTGATCGTTGTGACCAGATTAAGAAGCCCTCATTTAGACCCTTAATCAGACCCCTGTGACCCTTATTCTGGCCCTTATCACCGCTATTCTGACCCTGATGACCATTATTTTGATCCTTGTGACCCTTAATCTGATCCTTGTGACCCTTATTGATCTTGTTACCCTTATTATTGATCTTTAATCTGATCCTTGTGACCCTTAATTAGACCCTTGTTAGCCTTATTTGGGCCCTTAATCTGATCGTTGTGACCAGATTAAGGGTCCATCATTTAGACCCTTGTTATCCTTATTTGGACCCTTAATCTGACCCTTACGATCCTTATTCAGACCCTGATGATCTTTATTTTGATCCTTGAGACCCTTAATCTGATCCTTGTGACCCTTAATCTGAGCTTTGTGCTCCTTAATCTAATCCTTGTGACCCTTAATCTGGGCTTTGTGATCCTTAATCTGATCCTTGTGGCCCTTATTTACACACTTGTTACTCTTATTTGGGCCCTTAATCTGACCCTTATGATCCTGATTTGGATCTTTATTCCGAACCTTGTGGCCCTTATATTTACCCTCATGGCCCTTATTCTGACCCTTATGACCCCTATTGTAAACCTCATTACCATTATTTTGATCCTTGCGACCCTTAATTTTGACCCATGTAACCCTTAATTTTGAAGTTTTTATTTCGAGTAGCAAATTCTCATCACCAGAAGCCGATTTGGATTTTTGTAATATAAAGAGATTCAAGAGGTGTTGGTTCGCCCTCTAAGGTGAAAAGTGAATATCACGTTGGAGTGGGAACCCCCGAATTCCGCTCTGACGGACATAGAGTGCGAATAGTAAAATTCCCCCTAGAGGGCCAACTTCGAAACATCAACTTCAAAAGGTTCATGAAGAGTCAATCAGATAAATTATTTCAGACGCCGTAGATCCAATATTCTGGCTTTTTAACTGTGGGAAAAGGGGGGGGGGGTAAAACGGGGAGCAAAATGGACACTTGACATTTTTTCCGATCTTCATGGCTCAATGGGAAATTCATCGATTTAGTTTAGTCTCGGTTTAGGATTGTATTTCTCATGGAAAAAAAAGTTTTTAAAAATCAATTCCCATGGCATTTGAAATTCAACGAATCGTTGATGTTTAAAAAAAAATCAAAGTGTCCATTTTGCCCTGCTTAACCCTAGTAATGTTGTTTGGGTTCGTTTTTGGTTTTGTATTGAAAAGACGGAATCAACTGCCCTTCAGGAGAATGCATACAGCATTCGGAACGTAGGCGAAATCGTAAAATTTCATAGTGCATTAGAGTTCCCATTGGTTTTATTGGTGACCGTATACTGGCTATTGGAGTTTTTCAAGACACTTATATCAAGCTCAAGGACAGAATAAAAAACGTTATTGTCAGAAGGGCCCACGTTGGTGAGGCTGAAACTGGCGGAATATTCGACAGCGGAGAATTCGATTCGGGGAATATTTGAGGGTGTGAGGGTAAATAAATCGGATGTGGTAATTTTTTTCAAGTGTGAGAGAGTTTTTACACGACTTCCGCCGGCGAAGCTATCGCTAATTTCAGCTTCATCTTAATTTTTCCACGAAATTTGTTAACAATAATTGGAACTTAAGGTTTTTGTACTGGACATGCGCCCTTTTGATATTACAAAATTCAGCAGCGAAGGAGTAAAACGGTTTAAGTCGACTTTGACTAACTATTGACCAGTTTTGAATGAATATCTTGAAATCTGAGGGAGATAGCGAATTTTTTGTCATGACCTTTTTTGTAGAGCGAATTGAGAGCTACAAAAAAGGTCATTACAAAAATTTTGGTATCTCCCTCAGATGGGGAGATATTTCTCGAAAACTCGGGTAAGGCCTTCATCGACTTGGACAGTTTAACAGCTTCGCTGCTGAATTCACAGAACAATTACGGCCTTTCAACCCTACAACGACGTATCTTTGGCATGACTTTTCGAATCTTTGGTTGTTGTTAAATATTAATATAGAAGCAGGTATCGTAAATAATTAGGTTCTTCCTTCAGAGAACGTGAAGTATCTCCCGAAGACCAAACAAGGCAGCAATTATCGAGATACACTGTTGAAAATTTTTCGTCAAATTTCGTAAATTTTTATTGCTTTATTTCTACTGAAATTTCAGGAAATCAATTGTTCCGTTGATTTTCTGTTCAATGATCTAAAAATTGATGAAATATTTGATTTTTCAAGTGAATTATTCCGTGAAAATTCGGAAAAATCAGGGAAAATTCATGTCATTTCTTACTGAACATTCATATCCCATTCAAAATTCAATTAACTTCGGATATTTCCCTGAAACATTCCATTGATTTTCTGTTCAAATGATCTCAAAATAAATAAAATCCCCAATTTTTCAGTTCAATTATTCCGCTAAAATTCTAAAAAAATCAGATAAAAATAGAAATTTCTTATCATTTCTTCCAAACCCTCATATTCCATTAAAAATTCAATCAACTTCGGCCATTTCCCTGAACCATTCCATTGATTTTCCGTTCAAACGATCTCAAAATAAATAAAATCCTCAATTTTTCAGTTCAATTATTCCGCTAAAATTCTAAAAAATTATATAAAAATAGAAATTTCCTATCATTTCTTCCAAACCCTCATATTCCATTAAAAATTCAATCAACTTCGGCCATTTCCCTGAAACATTCCATTGATTTTCCGTTCAAATGATCTCAAAATAAATAAAATCCCCAATTTTTCAGTTCAATTATTCCGCTAAAATTCTAAAAAATCAGATAAAAATAGAAATTTCCTATCATTTGTTCCAAACCCTCATATTCCATTAAAAATTCAATCAACTTCGGCCATTTCCCTGAAACATTCCATTGATTTTCCGTTCAAATGATCTCAAAATAAATAAAATCCCCAATTTTCCAGTTGAATTATTCCGTGAAAATCTTAAAAATTCAGGAAGAAACATAAAATTCACGTCATTTCCCCACCAATAAAATCAATAAAATCCCCAATTTCTCAGTTCAATCATTCCCCAAAAATCCTAAAAAATGATGTAAAAATAGAAACTTCCGCTCACTCCTCCACACCTCACCTTAAAAATTCAATCAACTTGGGACCTTCCCACCTCATTCCCTGAGTTCTCCCCAAACCTTCAAAAAATTTCCAACAGTGTCCCCCCACGTCCGCGAAGAACCAAATCCCCAAGCGCCCCCCCACTCCCCGTCCCAAGCTAACCGCAATCAGCAGTGCCCACCAACCCCAGCAAAAAGCAGTCCCTGCACCCCCCAAACCCCCGTTGACCCTCAAAAGCAGCTCGATCAAAACCCGGCCTAGACGACTGTTCCCCCAAGCGCAAAAACGGGCTGTTCTGTTCTGACATAGGGACAGACTGTGGGTTTGGGCCTGGGGGTGTGTACGGAAAGGTTGGAAGGGTGTCATTGTGTCTCATGGCGTTCTCGCCCTCGTGGGATTGTCGGGAGGCAGAGAGAAATGCTCGCCTTGGTGTGTGCGGACGTGCTGATTCAGGATCGCCTTCTGACGGAAGTGTTTTCCGCACTCCGGACATTGGTATGGCTTCTCACCCGAGTGGATGCGCAGATGCTGATTGAGGATGGCGCGCTGCCGGAAGGTACGCTCGCAGTAAACACAAGCAAAGGGCTTCTCATTAGCGTGTATACGTAGATGTTGAGTAAGATGTGACTGTTGCCTGAATCTCTTTCCACACTCTGGACAACCATAAGGCCTGCTGTCAGTGTGAATTCTCTCGTGTTGAAGTAACGTTGATTTTTGCTTAAAGTCTTTACCACAAGTTAAACACTTGAACAATCTAAGATCACTGTTTGCACCTTTTGATGATTTGCCATTTTGCTGTACAATGTCAGGGAGTACATTAGCCATGTTAGCACCACCGGGGCTTGCGTACTGATGGGCCTCGAGGCTAGCACCCCCATCGCCCTGGCCAAGTGATGTCAGCATAACACCGGGTTGTTTCAAGTAATGAAGCGCTGAGAAACCCCCGGGTGTCAGCATGTGCGGTGGCACTGAGGGTGATGCGTGTGGTCTTGCATCCTTGAAGTAGTGCTGAGGATACTGTTGTAGATCACCAGTGCCAGGGAAACAGTCACCTCTCTCCACCTCGTGGGGCGTCAGCTGCTGCTGGGGTGAGTGGTCCTGCTGACCACTGGCTTGCTGCTGCGTCTGCTGACCACTTTGCTGCTGACTCGCCTGCTGCTGCTGCTGTTGTTGCTGTTGCTGCTGCTGTTGTTGCTGCTGCTGCTGTTGAGCTGCTACCTGTTGGTGGGCTGCCTGCTGCTGAGCTGCCTGCTGCTGGGCCACTTGCTGCTGCGCTGCAGCCTGCTGTTGGGCTGTTGTTTGACCGGTGTTTATGTCGTCGTCGGGGGGTGTCAGGGCTTGCTGATCAGTCGGGCCCGAGGGGTAGGGCGATGGCACTGGGGATGCCATCGGGGGCGGACCCGTTTCACCCCCCTCGACTGGCGGGCCACAGGCCTGCTGCGGACTACCCGATGAGGACGACGCCTGCTGCTGCGGCTGGGGCGCCTGTGGCTGCTGATTCTGGGGCTGTTGCTGCCCGTATAGTCCACCGTCCTGGAGAGAACCCGGCCCCGGTGCCCACTGGCCCTGGGGTCTCTCCATATTGTCCTTGTACAGTACGTACGGCGCGCCAGTATCTGGAATGCAGAGGTAAAAGAGTGTCATTCGAGATGGGGATCTTGGTGCACGATGGAGGCCTTGCATTTGACCGATTTTTTTATTTTATTAATTTTTTTTTTTCAGTTCCTTTTTGCAAAGGTCTAGAATCCTATTTTACTAAAGATGAAAGAAACGTGAAGCTGTTTTACATCGAAATATCTCGAAACTGCCTGACCGCTAATCCTTAATTCTGATTGGTCAATATGTGACACCAAGTTATTCACAAAAAAAAACACGCGACATTTTCAAATTCTTCAGTGAGATAATTTCAAATTCTTCAGTGGTAAATTTTTTTCACGTCATGTATATATAATATATGTATTTCACATGTATATATATCATCGGTGAAATTAATAAATTCTGTCCTTTTATGGAGACCGATTATTTTTAAAAATTGAAGATAATTAATTGAAAATGAAAAATTCTTTAGATTCTTTTACTCTACTTCGCTATTCAATTCAATCATTAGTCGAATTCTCTTTGATTCATTATCAAGATTTATAAGGTATTCATGAGAAAATGAAATTTAATGAATTCCATTTCTTCATTTCAACAAATTAATAGATCAGCGCGCGCGAGAGCGCGCGCATAGATCTTGTAGTGTGAAAACGGGGAAAATGATGGTTTAGGGTCGTGTATGTGACGACTGGGGGTTTTGGCGATTCATTTCTAGAAAATTGAACGATATTATGAGGTAATATGAGAGAAAAGAAAAATGCAGTGGACTTCAGTCGCTGAAGTGATTGGTGTTGTAAACTCCCAAACGGAGTTATGGGAATTACGATGTTAATATTAATTTCTACGCTAATTGTCTCGACTCTCCATTGGACAATACTGTATTGGTCTAGACGATGAATAAATTGATTGATTATAGAAAATTCAACGTAAATACGGCGAAATTTACAGATAAAAATCGGAAATTTTGCTTCAGCCCGATTGGTCCAGGAGTTCTTGACATATAATTTGTTTACATTTCTTTATCATGCCCGGGCTATTTCACTCGGTCAAACGTTAGCGGTTTTTATATTATATTTCGTAACGAGTGCAAAAAAGTGTTTTTTGGCGAGTGGGAGGTTTATATCACGAGCCGAAGGTATTTGCGGTGCAAATATTGTCGAATAGTATATTTCGTAACGAGTGCAAAAAGGTGTTTTTTGGCGAGTGATATAATCCCACGAGCTAAAAAAACATTTTTTCACGAGTTACGAACAATATTTATCATCACAATGTGGGGGAAACTGGACTTTTAGGCACGCGGAGCGTGCCGAAAAATTCACTTTTCGTCACAGCGTGATGAAAAGGTACAATTTACATTGTTTCCGTCGTATAGAGGTTCGCAAAGTCGAAAGAGAGGATATAGCATTCTGCTTTGCGTGTAATTTGTACCTTAAAATATCTAAGGTGTGAATATAGAATATGATTATAACAGTCGAAATAATATCTTTCATTGTTTAAATTTAGTTTTTCTTAAATATGTCAAAAATTCGTTTGTTTCTCAAAAATTAATTTTTTTTATTACCGCCAGTATCTGGAATGCAGTTTTAAAAGATATAATCCCACGAGCTAAAAAAACATTTTTTCACGAGTTACGAACAATATTTTTCATCACAATGTGGGGGAAACTGGACTTTTAGGCACGCGGAGCGTGCCGAAAAATTCACTTTTCGTCACAGCGTGATGAAAAGGTACAATTTACATTGTTTCCGTCGTATAGAGGTCCGCAAAGTCGAAAGAGAGGATATAGCATTCTGCTTTGCGTGTAATTTGTACCTTAAAATATCTAAGGTGTGAATATAGAATATGATTACAACAGTCGAAATAATATCGTTCATTGTTTAAATTTAGTTTTTCTTAAATATGTCAAAAATTCGTTTGTTTCTCAAAAATTAATTTTTTTTATTACCGCCAGTATCTGGAATGCAGTTTTAAAAGATATAATCCCACGAGCTAAAAAAACATTTTTTCACGAGTTACGAACAATATTTTTCATCACAATGTGGGGGAAACTGGACTTTTAGGCACGCGGAGCGTGCCGAAAAATTCACTTTTCGTCACAGCGTGATGAAAAGGTACAATTTACATTGTTTCCGTCGTATAGAGGTCCGCAAAGTCGAAAGAGAGGATATAGCATTCTGCTTTGCGTGTAATTTGTACCTTAAAATATCTAAGGTGTGAATATAGAATATGATTATAACAGTCGAAATAATATCTTTCATTGTTTAAATTTAGTTTTTCTTAAATATGTCAAAAATTCGTTTGTTTCTCAAAAATTAATTTTTTTTATTACCGCCAGTATCTGGAATGCAGTTTTAAAAGATTGACAAAGAATCTGGGGTTCTTTGGCGTTTACCGAATGGAAGCCTTGGATTTGACCGATTTTTTATTTTTCTTATTTTTATTACAAAGGGTCTAGAATGTTGTGAAACGTGATGGAATAGTGTTTTTAGGGTCATGTCAGTATGTATATGACAACTGGGGTTTTTGGTGATTATTTATTTATTTTTATTTTTAATGAAATTTGTTACAAGTTCGAGAACTTGCAACTGGCCATCGCCCGAGGGCCTTCAGCCAGGTATTTACAATTTAGTATACAAGGATTTCAAATGGGGTGTTTGTCTTTCAAATGTTTCACAGTAAAGAAAAGTGGTAGAGATAAAATTTTGGTGATTAATTTCTGGAAACTTCAATGTAAATACAGGGAAATTTGTAGATAAAAATCGAAAATTTTGACGCATTGTAGCTACGATTGACCTCAACTTTGGGGCGTTGTTTCCGCCCGATTAGTCCAGTAGTTCTTGAGATATAACAAGTTGTTTAAATTTCTATATTATCCCCGGGTTATTTTATTCGGTCAAAGCTTAGATGTTTTTAAGATGTAACTTACACTGTTTCTCTCGTATAGAGGTTCGAAGAGTCGAAAGAGATAATAAAATAAAATGACCCGGGAATAATATAGAATATGAATATATCAGTTGAAATAATATCTTTCAGTGTTTAAATTTCGTTTTTCTTCAATATCTCAAAAAACTACTGCGCCCATTTCAATTTTTCTTCCTTTAAGGGGACACGGAATTGTGTTTTCTCCTGCAATTATAGATAGAAATTAATAATTGTAGGAGAAAACACAATTCTAAGATTTGATGTAGACTAAGGGGTTCCGTCTCCCCTTAAAATACTCGTCTCGATGGCCTCTGACCAGATCAATCGAAATGTCTGTACCCGTTCACACAAAATTTTTGAGATATCGCCGTTTTTTCGTTTTAAAAGTTTTTTTTTTCATTCTTGTACGCACGATAATTTGAAAAAAAAAATGAAGATAGCAAGTTGCATTTAGCATGATTATAGCCCTTACATTGATAGAACGGATTAGTTATTGTTAACGAATGGATTTTGGTTGGAGGTTAGGGTCTGTTCAGTCTCACCAAATGTTCATTCGTTAATAGTTAACGAATGTATATTTGAGGAGCCTTGTTTGACTTGACTTTCGCCATTCAAGTGAACCATTCGTTAACTGATAACGAATATTCATTTGGTCATATTCAACTCTACCACTCGTTAATAGTTAACGAATCTCATTTGGAATAAACGAATCATTCTATCAGTGTACAATACTGAAGATTTGTATTTTGTATCGGCTCAACCGGCCGAGAAGATTCGGCGGTATTTAACTTTTTGTATAAATCTATTTCGCTAAAAGATTGTTTTGGTTAACGTTCTGCGATAAAGCCTCGTCGATTTGTCGGGGGAGTTCGTGGTTATTAATGGGAAGCACCTTGGATTTATGGGAGAGGTATGCGGGTGCCGACGGGCCACTGACATTTCTCCAATCGACGAATTCATCCCCTTATTTTTACCCCTCGAATGTACGAAAAAGGTCAGTTAATCTCGGCGAGGGAGAGAAGGTCATCCGAAATAACTGTCTGCAATTAGTCATTCCAATTTGAGGAGTACGCCGAGAGAAAAACGAACAAGTTCTCGTAACAAGTCTTGTTTGGGCCGACAAAATCGTTAGTTGAAAATCACCGAAAAAACAAGTGGGAGATTGCTCTTGTGTTGCGTATAGTAGTTATTTTTGCTAATAAATTAGGAATATGCTTCCAAATGGTTATGTCGCACATCGTTTCCTTCTATCATGTGTAATTCATTGTTTATTTCATTTTATTAAATTGAATAAGATTTCTTTTCAACTAATTTTGTCAGATTTTCAACTCAGTTGAATGTTATCATCATCATTATTCTTATTATCCCTTTCTTCTATACAACCGATTGTCTTTTACAGTTCTATCTCTCCCCTCAACCCTTCGATAAAATGTTAATAGAAAATTTTTATTTACACATACTTAAATGAATTTGGAACATCACATTTGAGGAAACCGTCAGAAAGCTCACTTTCAGGGAAATTCATGAAAAATTCGAAATTTTCAACAATCATCATAAAAATCAAATCAACCAATATAGCTATCGTAATCATCTTTCAACTTCGACTTAATGGCATTAAAACAAACATTTTAAGCTATGATTGAATTCATTTGAAGCATGACATTCAAAGATATCCCCGGAATTCTAATTTTCAAAAAATACAAAATTTTTGCAAATTTTCAAATGAATTAAAATAACGATTATTGCTATCGCCTTCATCTTCGAACTCGGTCAAAAGGACATCCAAGCAAATTTTTTAAGCCATCATTCAATCAATTCAGAACATTTTTTTAGTTATCGTGGGACAACTGATTTTCGGAAAAATTGGAAAATTGAAAAAACTAATCGATGAATTAAATTTTAATTAATGGGGTTTGGTAGGGCTCAGCAATACCTACATTTGAAATAAAAGATTCTATTCATTCATTAGCGAGCAATTGAAGAAAAACTTTGTTTGATTCGAATTTGAAAGTCTCAAATATGAATAATTATTCTGCTTCAAATAATAATGAAATATTTTGCTCAAGAGGTGGATCGTTCGTACAAGACGGTGCCGTTTCAGGATAAAAATCCCTTTTATAGAGAAAAGTTCATCAAGAAATATTTTTTCCTCAAATTACAAGATTCCTGTCATATCGTTACTATTATTTTATTTAAAAATCCATTTTTTGTCTGTAATTATTGAATAGCCGAAACGACAAACTACTATATCCTTCGTTTTATATAAAACGAGCATTTGCCGGGAGCGAAATACGTATGGGCGCATCGAATAACGAAGAAGTAGTGCTGGAAATGACATTTCTTGCTTGCACAGAGAATAAATTTTTTTTGAAAAGACTAAATCTATTTTTGCAATAAAAATTTTCAATCTCGGCGCACGCCTCATATGTTTCGCACAAGAAAAATCCTTTTTTTATCGCTTTTACCAAACGGTTTTTTGGCACAAGTAAGACTTATTTGAGAACTTTGCCGTTTTTCTCTCAATGTTTTGTCGGGAAATGATAATACCGAAGCGGTACAACGGTTTAATTCATTCATTCACTCAAATTACATTTTGTGCAGAATTATTATTTTTTTAAACATTCGTTGTTTGTCAATTATTTTTAGAAAATGCTGGATAATAGTGAAAATCTACTTGAACTGTTTTACCGCTTCGCTACTGATTTGAACGAGTCAAATTTCATTTGAAATTTATCTAAAAAAAATCAAAATATAAACCACTGGCCTGGAATTTCATCCTGCCAATTTCGTAGAGCAGAAAATTAAAAACCATTCATAAAACCGGTTAAAACCGATTTCGACCATTGCTCAGTATTCAGCGAATATTTCGGAATCGAAAGCAACTAGCAAAATTTTCGCGGGCACCTTTTTTAAACCCCTCAATTCGTTCTACGAAAAACCTCATCACAAAAACTGCCATCTCCCTCGGATCCTGAGATATACCCCAAAAACTCACCCCTAAACCTCAAACTTGAACCGTTTAAGGATATCCAAGTACTTTTTAACTTTGGTACAGACCACACTATAATTTCAAACAATTTCAATCATCAAATTTGTCAATTAAATTGCGTGAGAAAAATTGGAAAAAAATCATGAATACTCAGCGTCATTCAAATTACATTTTGCGCAGAATTATTATTTTTTAAATATTCGTTGTTTATAAATTAATAATTGCAACTGTTTAAACTTTTGGAAACCTTACTTTTTTGGCCATAAAATCGATTGTTTATAAATTATTTTTATTTAAATTTATTTAAATTTTTTATTTTATTTTAATTTTAAAAATTTGCAATTTGAAAATTCTTCAATATCGAGATTCAAGTTCATACCTGCAAAGTTTAAATAACAAAATCATTGTAAAATATCTGGAAAATTAGGCTCAAACTCGGCTCAAATGAAAGTTCTGATGTTCGACTACAAAAATACAAAAGCATTTCACCAAAGATAATATCATGAAAGATATTCAAGTATTTGTAGTTTGGTATAGACGACACTATAATTTCAAGCAATTTCAATCATCAAATTTGTCAATGAGATAGCGTGAGGAAAAATACGAAACAAATGATGAATATTTAGCTTCATCCAAATTACATTTTGCACAGAGTTATCATTTGTTTAAGCATTCGTTGATTATAAATAAATTATTGCAATTCTTTAAAATTGATCATTTATAAATTATTCATAGAAAATGCTCCTAATATTCAAAAATTGCAATTTCAAAATCATTTCATCAACTTTCCTCCAAACTTAAACTTTTTAATTTATTTCCAGATTTCAAAAATGTGTTTTAATCCTCAAATACCGACATTCAACTTCATACTTGCGAACTTTAACCAACAAAATCATCGCAAAATATCCGGAAACTTAGGCTCAAATGAAAGTCCGAATGTTCGACTACAAAAGTAGAAAGCACCGAAGAAAATATCATTAAAGCTATTCAAGTATTTTTCCAGTTTGGTGCAGACTACATTATACATTCAACCCTTTTCATCCATTAAATTTATCAATTAAATTGCCTGACAAAAATTGGAAAAAAATCACGAATATAAAACGCAATTAAATTACATTTTGCACAGAATAGAATAGTAATTTTTTAAACTATTCGTCAATTATAAATGAATTACTGCAAATGTTTAAAATTGATAATTTATAAATTATTCATAGAAAATGCTCCCAATATTCAAAAATTGCAATTTCAAAATCATTTCATCAACCTCTCCCCAAACTCAAACTTTCTAATTTATTTCCAGATTTCAAAAATGTGTTTTAATCCTCAAATACCGACATTCAACTTCATACTTGCGAACTTTAACCAACAAAATCATCGCAAAATATCCGGAAACTTAGGCTCAAATGAAAGTCCGACTGTTCGACTACAAAAGTGGAAAGCACCGACGAAAATCTCATTAAAGCTATCCAAGTATTTTTCCAGTTTGGTGCAGACTACATTATACATTCAACCCTTTTCATCCATTAAATTTATCAATTAAATTGCCTGACAAAAATTGGAAAAAAATCACGAATATAAAACGCAATTAAATTACATTTTGCACAGAATAGAATAGTAATTTTTTAAACTATTCGTTAATTATAAATGAATTACTGCAAATGTTTAAAATTGATAATTTATAAATTATTCATAGAAAATGCTCCTAATATTCAAAAATTGCAATTTCAAAATCATTTCATCAACCTCTCCCCAAACTTAAACTTTCCAATTATTCCCAGATTCCAAAAATGTGTTCTAACCCTCCAATACATTCAACTTCACACCTGCGAGCTTTAACCAACAAAATCACCGCAAAATATCCGGAAACGGCTCAAATTCAGCTCAAATGAAAAGCATTTTACTCAAAAAAAAAAACTCCCCAAACTGCTTGCATATCCTTAACCGCAGCTCCCACCCCTCCGAAAATCCTCCCATCCGTCCACGACCCCC